AGCAGAGATGCGAGAAGCATGGCCTGGCCGGGAGCCAGGCTGCTGTCCCAGAGGAGGCTGAGAGCATCATGGTCCCCTCGGGGCTGCGGAGAGCTGAGGCCGGTGGGAATGTTCTCACAGTCGCCTCTCAGGGTCCTGACATCTGTGGGGAGGGCAGGTGGGGACGAGGGGCTGGATGGGGCCATGGCTAACAGTGGGGCACAAAGACCACCAGGGAAACTGCACCACCCGTGCGGTGGGGATGACCCTGGCAGAAGGGCCCAGACCTGAGAAACGGCCAGGAACAAGAGGGACAGAAAGCGGGCGGCGGGGAAGGACACCGAGGGGGCGAGCGCCGGCGGTCCTGGTGCCGAGCCGGCAGCCTGCGTGGGCGGGGGCGAGAAGCCGAGTAGTTTTGGGGTTGCTCCTTGGACAGCTTTGTGGGGAGCCCAGTAGGCTGCTGTCTGCTGGGGTCTGGGGCTCAAGAGAGAGGCCCCTAGACCAGAACTGAGCATTACAGACAGTCCTGTCCCGGTAGGAAGGGGGCCAGCTGCCGGCGATGCCACCTGTGACCTTGACAAGCTGTCTGACCTCTCAGGGTCTCCGTGTCATGCATGGTGGTGGGGAGGATTAAACAGGTATCTTGGGGATTGTTTTTGGAACGGTGCCTATTGCCTAGAAGTGCCCAAAGCGTGTTGGCTACTGTCTCTGACTGTCGGGGACCCCTCAGGTTTCAAGCGCCGTGTGAAGCCTGGATGGCTGAGCTGGCATGAGGAGAGCTGGGTGAGCAGGGAGAAGGCCGGACAGCTGTGCCCTGAGCTCGTAAGGGTGCTTTGTCACTCCGTTTCCGAGAATCTAAGGCAGAAGAGTGGCTAGACTCAATCACGGGGCTGTGGTTTCAAATCTTTTAAAAATAAATTCTTCATACTGCAAAAAGCTTGGTTTTATGAGCAAGCCAAATTAAACATTTACTCTTTATGTTTCTAAATGAACAAAGCAACACTGTATATACCACCGAGGACATTTTTAAGGTACCTGGGAACCACTGTTAATCTGAAACTTGCTGTTAACCAGCTGCGTGACCTTTGAGGAGCCACTGGTCTCCCTGAGCCGAAGTTAATTCGCTGTCAGATGAGTCGCTCAGGTCAGAAGCATCGCTCAGGCTTCTCCCAGTACCCGAAGTCTAGTTCTGAAGGCGCCCGTGAGCTGGTTTTAGTTACTCGATATACTTGGAAGTGAAATGATGGATCTTCGAAAGCGTGTATATGTAGAAGGCAGAGGAGAGGCTGTGTCCATGAGACGCCGAAGCAGGTGGCAGAAGACAGTGTGATGGAGCAGATGACACTTAGGTCTAGGATCTCGCAGCCCAGCGGGGGAGGGGGTCAGTCGGTTGGCAGCCGGGCCTGGGTCCCCCGTGTCTGAGCCACAACACGGGCACTGCCCCTGCGCATTTACAATCGGCTGGGGAGGTGACATGTGGAAGAAACTCCGCGGATGAATGAAATGATGCTGAGGCCACGGCAGCTTCTCTATAAAACGGGACACCAGGGTTTAGCTCAGGGATGTAGGAGAGCACCTGGGCCACATGGTTTATTTCTTTTCGCTCGCAGAGATGCACGGAGGACGACACGAGTGAGTCAGAGACGACGTGGGCCGAGAGGATGTTAGGATGGAGGAAAGGTAGGTTCATCTTCACGTTGCACACGACGGCTCTGTGGAGTGGCCAGCAGTGGGCTGCCGGTTCGGTTCTGAGCTTCTGAGCTCTCGAAGACGGAAGGACATGTGATCAGTGTGATCATATCCCTTCTGGATGGAATGTGTGGCTTCCCATTGCCCTCAGACGAAAGCCAAGCGCCTTCCCGTCTCACAGCCTTCCCCGCGGCCACTGGCTCCTTCCGTTTCGTGACACAGAGAAGCCAAGCTTCTCCCCTTCCGTTGTCCCCACGGCCCTCCGTGTTCTCTCTTTCCTGGCTCAGCTCACCTGGCTCTTCCTTTGGGAAGCTTCCAGCCCTGAGACTGGGTGAGATAGTGCTGCTCTCTGCTCCCCAAGAATCCCGTACTGCCTGCCTGGTGCCCCCCTCCCACCCCGCATGTAATTGCTGGTCCGTCTGCCCTCCAGTCACCCAGCTTCTTTCCCAGGGTGCTTGACACACAACATGAGTAGAATGAATGAGACCTGCGTGTCAGGCTCCCCACGGATCTTCGGAAAGGGATGGCATGACGTGTGGGGGACACACTGGGTGCGATCGGATTGATACATGGTGATCTAGGAGAAAGGTACAGAGGCCGATGTGGTGGTCACCGCAGGGCTCGCTGAAGAAACTCATCTCGGACGGTAAGGTAAGCACCGAGGTTCCTGAAACGGGGTCGGGGACAGAGGTGCAAAGGGCCGGTTTCCAGGAGCTTCCGCGCAGCCTGCCGAGGCAGGCCGGGCCGCCCGCTTTGCGAGACCGCCACGCGCGAGGTGCATCTGCAGAAGTCTGTGAGATCTGGGCGAAATAAGCAGAAGACGGACCCCAGAAAAGAGAGAGCAGAGGACGGCACAAAATCCAGGAGACGTATTCCAGGGCAAAGCTCACGGAAGCGAAGGGCCGGTGACGAATCGGAATGATCCACAATGTAGAGAGATAAGAGGCCATCAGAAGTCCGCACGGCGAAACCGCTCAGACTTGCTGAGCTGTGAGGGGGCTGTGGCAACCTCGGCGTCAACATTTCCAGAGCCACGAAGAATCACAGTGAACGTTCCACACTAACATTTCACAACTGCAGCTTGGCCCAAAGGTCTTTAATCATGTGTATATACACACACACACACACACACACACACACACACACACACACACACCTGTCGATACCTGTCTATATATGGGTATGGATAGCTATATAGATAGATAGATGATGGGTAGTAGACACATGATAGATAGATAGTTATAATTGCATTCTAAGCTACTTAAAAACAGTAAGAACATGTTCTTTTCATGCATTTCCCATAATATCTGTTCTAGAATCTTCACATCCTACCCTCTTGCTGAAGCAGATTACATTCAGAGGGCTGGAGATGAGTCGTTTTAGGATGTGGGGAGACAGGCTAAGCTGAGTGGTACACGCCTGCATTTCAGATGGGTTAAAGAATTACTCATTTGTAAAAATAGTCACTAAACATTCATTAAAAAGCGATCCAGAGCCTATGTGAAAAGAGACTTCGCAGTGTCAGAGCCTAACACGTTCCATGTTTCACCACGGTGCCCTGACCTCCCCGCGGGCCCCCGGGACCGGCGGCTGCATTCACAGATGTGTGTGCGGGGTTCTCTCCTCTGCTGCTCAATAGGAGCTCGATCGAGGCAGGATGCATTCGGGACCTGGTGACTAGGAAGGGGAAGACCCTCCAAGTTACGGGATGTGGGCAGCGAGGGAAGTAAGGTTCCATCCGTGCCATCCTTCACCTCCTCACCCCAACCTCCGTGCTAAGCCTGCCCCTTCACCTCCCTCCGCTCCTCCCTGTCCCCGGCTCTCTGCTCCTCCCCGTCCCCGGCTCTCTGCTCCTCCCTGTCCCCGGCTCAGCTCTGGAGCCCCCTGCATCTCCCCAGGTACTGCAGTGCCCCCTCGCTCCAGGACTGCTCACTTCTACACGCCTGTCCTGCACACGCCTCTCAGGAGGAGCCTTCTGAAACGCCCATCCTTCGATGTTGCTCCCTGCTTAAATACTAATGGACACTCATTTGTTTAGCTCTAACTCAAGCCCGCTGTGACAGCTTTTAACTACCACCTCTAGTGACAAGTGTCCTTGGCCCTGGCCAAGCCACAAACCTAGCCGGTCCCTCGATATGCCGTGCACTTCCTCACTTCCACGCTCGTGCACGGGTGCTTTCCTCTGTGTGGGGGGTTCGACAGGAAGTCAACCTTAAGGCTATGCCAGGACAGCAACTCAACGCCAGCTAACAAACAAAGAGAGACAGCGTTAGGAATGCGATGTACGCCTCCGTCTAAGGTAACATTGCCCAGAAAGCGGAATCTCTGCCCTGCCTGATTTTCCCCGCTCAGCTGAATATTTACACTTACTGGTAGGAGGGGAGACATGGCAGCCCAGGTCCTAACTGTACATCCTCCCAGCATCCTGAATTCAGTGGCGGGGGGCGGGGGTGCCTGGGGAACACTCTGAGGGGCTGAGCTCTAGGCCTTCTCTGAGCCCAGCTCTGTGGCCCGGGCATAGGGACTCACTCTGATGGCTTCCCGCAGCGGACAGGGGCGGGGCACCGTGTCTGGGACCCACCGGGACTCCCGCAGGGAGGGGAGCGGGGATGGTGGCTCCCAAAGGAAAGGACGCTGGGGGGACAGAGCGCTACGCCCCCGCGAGCCTCCCCCAGCCTTCCCAGAGCCCGGAGCGGCTCCCCCGCGCCTGCCCCCTCCCGGCACGGCTACCTCGCCGTGGGTTTTTTGGATCACGTGCCTTTTCATCGAACGGATCTACCTTCCCAGAGAGCAAGCATTTCCTTTGAACCGGTCACCTCCGGTCTGCCCTCCATATCCAGTCTCCCCCCTTCTTCGCCCTGCTCGCCCACGTGGACGGCATCGCTGGGCCCCCCGGTCGCGTTTGGCCAATGGAGAGAGAGAGAAAAAGCAGAATGAGGCCGAGATGTTTATCCCTCTGGCTCCTTCCGTGCAGGGCTGCGCGAGCCGGCTGTCTCCCTGGATGGAAGGTGGCACGTCCTGTCAGAGTCCCCTCCACAGAGCTCTGGGTTCTAGAAACAGCTTCCTCCCCTGCCCCTCCCACCCTCACCCTGCTGTTCCTAGCTCCAGCCCTGCAGTATCTCTTTAGGTCTCCCTGTACCCTGCCCGCACCAGATAAATAGCTCCTTTATTAAACCCTCCTCGTGTTACCCAATTAGAGCGTGCCACCTGGGTCCTGCCTGGCCCTGCCTAACACAGCGTCCTATTCATCTTTGTTTCCTTAGGACCCAGAACAGTGCCTTTCACACCAAGGGCACTTAATAAATCCAGGAATTGAGGAATGATGGCGCATGGGCTGTGTGTAGGAGCGTTGAGGCCAGTAAGCAAAGACGGGCCAGAAGAGCCGCTTTCAGATTTCTCTGGGCCAGGATTCAGAGTAGGAAGCAGAGCTCCTGTGGCAGTGCAGGGGACACGCACCTATGTACACGTAACAAAGCGGGAGGTGTCGTGTGAGGCAGGGCTTGCTGCACTGTGTGCCGTGGACCGTGACCTGCCTACTTACTTCTGCTCTGTGTCAAGTTCAGATTCTTATCGTGGTTTGCGAAATCGATTTCATGACCTGCAAAATGGTTGCAACCCATGGCTTAAGCCTGGCCCAGGGACTTCTGTCGTTCCCTCCCTTCTGGGGCATCTGTGGTGCCATCGGTTGAATTCTGAGGCATAACGAATGAGATAATGTCATAATGTCACGGTGAGGACGCTTCTAATGGGAATTGGCGTCATCGCCTTGAAAAATCAAATGACATTGCCGTTCTAGCTTCGATTTTCATAGACTCCTTATCGAGGTTGACGTTTCTGTTTTGGGGTTAGCCTCCCGTGGAGGAGGAATGGATTGGAGATGTTAAAATGCACTGATGGACGTGAGCAGTTGTAAGCATCAGGCTCTTGAGAGTCTGAGAGGAAAGCTAAGCTCGTGTGCCTGCCTGAGGGTCCCTGGGCCTCCCTTCTGTGTCCCTGTTGCCACCAGCGGCTCCTCCTCCTCAGCAAAAACGTGTCTCAGCGCCCTGGTTACCCACCAAGCTTGGCCGAGAGGACAATCCGGGCCTGCACGTGTCCATTCGAAACTGATATTGTCTCCCCGTTTCAAATTCAGCCCAAGTCTGCACACCTCTCCGCCTCGAACGGGGGATGCTTCTATTTTAAAAACTGAGTTCCTTGTTCCCTAAAATTAACTCTCCCTCACAATTCACCGCCATCTGTCATTCCCCTGGTACCTGACCTACGAAGCCACGTTAGAAGGGTAGAGGATGGTGAAAGGTACCATTTAGCTGAGAGTCCGAATCGTGTCCTCAGATCCCACCTTCAGCTGGACGTCGACTCTTTGCGAGATTCTCCGAGGAGGCCAAGGCCAGGAGGACAAGCCCAGGCAGGTGGGCACGCGCCGGCCCGGGCTCAAAGCGGGGGGCTTCGCGAGCCGAACCGGCCAGCCGTCACTCACTCGCTTACCCATCATTCTTTGAAAAAATCCGTATCCACGCCTATGATTGTCAAGCACGGGGCGGCGGGGGGTCGGGGGGAGACAGTGAACAAAACAACATCCCTGTCCTGGCGACACTTACGCTCTGAGGAGAGAATCAGGAAGGAAACAAACAACCACGTGGACACCAACAGGGGACGGCGCCGGTGTTGTCCCTGGGCGTGTGACAGGCGGGTGGACGTCTGCGTGCGTGTGCGCGCACCCGCGGGAGCATCGTTCGTTCGTTGATTTATTTTTTTAAATCAATCGTTTTAAAATTTATTTTTCAGTTAGAGTTGCCACGTGCTGTTCATTAGTTTTGGGCGCACAGACACCCCCACGCCTGCTGGTGTGATCGCCAGGGACGTCTAGCCCGCGTGGGAGCCCCGTCTCGGCTGCTGGTGCCAGTGAGGGCTCTTTGAGCAGTGACGTCTGAGGACAGAGCCCAGCGGATTTGAGCGGAAGAAGTGTCTGGGGGAGAAGCATCTGGAGAAAAGGGGGCGCACGTGCCAAGTCCTCGAGACCCTTCAGGAGACCCCCGCCTCGGGCCGAGCCCCCGTATAATTCTGCACCCCAGCTCATGCCAAACCTGGGCCACCCTGTGGACACATAGACCCACCGATTTCTCAAATTAGTTTTTAATTCTGGTGCAATCTCCGTCACACAGCATTTACCGTCTTAACTGAGTTTAAGCGTTCCGTTCAGTGGCGTTAAGTACCTTCTCGCGCTGGCAGCTGTCACCACCGTCCCCTCACCGAGTTAAGCGTTCCGTTCAGTGGCGTTAAGTACCTTCTCGTGCTGGCAGCTGTCACCACCGTCCCCTCACCCAGTTCTTGCAGCCCCTGACAACCACCACCCCCCTTCCCGTTTCTGGGAATTTGACCATTCTAAGTATCTCGTAAGTGGAGTCATACAATGTTGGCCCTTTCGTGACTGGCTTATTCCACTTAGCATGGCAGGTCCCTAAGGTTCACGCACGTTGCAACCCGTGTCAGAACTCCCCTCTCTTTAAAAGCTGACTAATATCTGCTGGACGTATAGACGGCATTTTGTGTATCCTTCACCACAGACGAACTCCGTCTGGATGCTTCTGTCCCTTGCCTGTTGTGAATAACACCGCCTTGAACATGCGTGTGCAAATATCTCCTTCAGCCCCCCCTTCCTGCTCTTTTGGGCGTCCGCCCAGCAGTGGACTTTAGATCGCTTTCCTGTCGAGCTGACCCCACGTCGTTTGCACATCTGTCTCCCATCTGGACTGTGAGCTCCCAGTGGACCGGAGCCCGTGCTGGACGCTCCTGCTCACTGATGCTATGGACGGCACACGGTCTGTCCCCAGAGGGTTTCTTGACTGACGAAGCCGGACAGCGCTGTTGCTGGGTGCGGGGGCGTGAATGTGGGTTGGACTGGGCACCCCCCACCTTCATGTATTTTTAGATATTTAGCTTCTCCGATTTTCTTTAAAAGGTGAGTACTGCCCCTAAAATAAAAACTGACAAACCCCAACTCCTTGTGGGAGAACTGGAAAGCCACCGAGGGTGAGCGACCTGCCTGCCAGGTGTCCAGATGCAGTTAGTGGCCCTGCCGGGCTCCGACTCCGCGCTTCCCCCACCGCTACCCAGCACTGCAGCCACCGCGGCCTTTGCCAGGAAAGGAAGTTGTCTCTGTTTTCTCCCTTGATCGCTGTCTGTCTCTGTCCCCCACCTCAGCGGTCAGAGCAGGGCCAAAGACAGAAGGGAGGCCAGAGCCCTCGCCAGACCCGGCCTTGGCCCTGGGCCTGGGCGCTGCCAGGTTGGGGACCCCACGTGCAGCCCCCAGGAGGGCTCTCCTGTGTGGGACTGTGCTCTGCTTCCCCCGGGCTCCGCTTAGGCCACAGATCTCAGCACCGGTCCTCAGGGCGATCGGCTGCTGCCCAGCACAGCTGGTCCCCAGGTGGCTCAGCGAGGGGACACAGACGGGCTCTTCACAGCGTGAGGCTGTTCCTCCCTGAGGAGGCGGTGGCTTCCCATCCCTGGACTAGACTATGCGTGAGAGAGATGGGGCGAGGGACGGGGTGAGCGTGAGCGTGCGTGAGCTTGTATGTGTGAGCGTGTGTGTGTGTGAGCGTGTGTGAGCGTGTGTGTGTGTTGCGTGTGTGTGTGTGCGCGTGTGTGTGTGTGTGTGAGGGGGGAGTGGGGAGCCAGCACAGAGGCAGCAGGAGAGAAGGAGCACGTGCTGCAGAGAAGCAGAGCCGTCGTCCCCAGGATTGGGGTTAAATGACCCGAACCGTGTGCGGCACCCAGTCAGGGCTTCGGGACAGATTTGTGCCATTCTGGAGGCGGAGAGGGAGGTGGATTCGAGAGAGGAGGGACCGCGGCGGGAGGAGGGAGGAGGGAGGAACTCGTCCTGGAAACCCCAGCAGCCGAAGGAGGAGCTGCAGCAGGCCGGCCTGTCTGCCCACTCTCCCTGAGCAGCCGCTCTGCTCGCCCCCTCCCTGACACACCTTTAAATTTGTGCAACGCCACCTTTGTTGTGTAAAGGAAAATCAGCTTCTGGATTTCCTGAAATACCTCGGCAGGTGCATAGAAAATCTGCCTGGCAACGGCTATTATCGAGGGGACAGAGACAATGGGGTTGGCAGTGGCCACTAGTCCCCCCTGCCCCACACCTCACAGGTGCCTTGACCCTGTGCCTTGGCACCCCTCACCCCAAATCATTTGGGTTTCACCCCATCTTTGGCAGGAGGGGAACTGCTTCCAGGTGTGTAGGATTAAGGGCAAGACCCACGTAGCCCATGGCCCCCTGGACAGGGAGGGGTCCTGGCTGCCCCCCAGGCCCTGAAAAGCCTTCCCCAGGCAGCTCCCCCAGAGACCGGTGGGAACCCCACTCCCCATCGCGACTAGAAGGTGTCCCCTCTTGCAATGGCTCTGAAGGGACAAGGCTATGGGGCCCCACGATGTCTGTGATGGTTCACACTCGGCCATCACGGGAGGACTTTCCCGCACGAGACTGACAGAGGCCAGCAGGAGCTGGACGGCAGCCTCCTACACACTGCTGTCCCCAGAACCGCCCCTACGCCTTGTGCCAACGATGGCTGCACCAACTGCACTTCACCTCTGCATCAGTTAAGAAGCAGATAGCCAGACCGAACACCTGTGCACCTGCCGTACCCTCTCAGGCCGCGGGGAGAGGCCTTAGGGAGAGAATTCCAGAGCCAGCTCGGCCTGGGCAAGGAGGACAGTGCGCAGCCCAGCGCGGGACTGAGGGAGGGTCGCTGGGGGCCAATTCACAGGCACAGCTCGCGAAGCTCGCCCAAGAAGGGCCACCGAAGGCCCCGCCCGGCAGAGCGTAAGTCTTGCGAGATACAGGGCAGCGGTTGCTGCTCTTTAGTGGGAGAGAGACAGGGAGACAAGGAATCAAAGGTGGCAAGAGGCACCCCGACCGCCCTCAGGGACACGCGTCGGGAGTGGCTTCCTGGGAAGAGCACGAGCCCTTACTGGAAGACTCAGACTATTTTCGCGACTGGCCCTTGGGGCTGCGCCCGGCCTCCCGCCCCGCAGGGCTGCACCGGGGGAGGCTGGGGAGGCTGGGGAGGCTGTGTGCTGGCTTCCTCCTGCCTGTCGCACCCGTGCAGATCCCAGGCGGGGTTATTACATCAGCCACAATTCCCCTCCTCAGCCCCTGGGGAGCGGCCAGGGTGGAAAGCAGCAGGGACACAAATAAAGGATGATCTCAGGTAGCAGCCCTGACTGGAAAACAGGAGAGACGTCCTGAGGGGTTTCACTCCGCTGAAAGGAATTCAGCCTCACCGGCCTCTCCTCTCCGAGAGCTGGAGAGATGGCCCTGGAAATACAGGTTTGGTGACTTCCGACAGTGAATGGCCCTAAGTCACAGGGGACGCTCCTGTTCCCTTGCCGTCCTTTGCCAATTTGTGGCATTTGTGTAAAATAGAAAGAAACGCCCACCCAGGATCCCCGTGTGGGCAGAGAACAAACGAAACCTCTGCTGTGTCAGAAAACGCACGTTTTCTCATACACAGGGCCTGGAACGACAGTGCCGACCTCTCCTCTCCCTTCCATGTTCCCCAGAGACCTTCCAGAAGACAGAGCAAAGGCCCGTTTCGTGGATGTATATCGAATACACACTTACCTTCTACATCCCTGTCATGTCGAAAGTCGTCGTGTGTTCTGGCAACCACCTCGACTTGCTCGGGAGGAAAATTAGATTGTGGGCCCAGCACCAGTGTGTGTGTGTGTGTGTGTGTGTGTGTGTGTGTGTGTGTGTGTGTGTGTGTGTGTGCGAGCACGCGCATGTGCCCACGTGCTGGCTGCTGCTTAGCTTCACAGGGTGCCTTTGTGTGTCTGAAGCCTCGGGAGCCTGAGCACCCATGCAGGGGCCCGGAGCACCCCAGTCCCCCTGCTCTGTGCTCTTCCCAGCTTGGAAGACATGCCCAGTCCTCAGAATCGAGGGCCCTTTTCCTGCATGTGAGTCCTGCCCCCCGACAAGCCTACCTACGTCTCGTCACCAGAAATGTACCTTTATCCAATCTGAAGGTGCTTTATTGAAATGATAAGTCACACAAAAAACGGGAAAAGTAAGCCCTTTGCTCACGGAGAAATGATGCAGGTCTTGGAACTACTTCTACCATCTCTCTAGAAACGTCTCCATGTGAGCTGTGGTTCTGAGAGAGGAGATGGACAATGTGGGGGGCATGCAGGACCTGGTAACCGGGGCGAAAACGTAGCCGGCGGTTCCATGCGGCCCGCGGGGCGGATCCCTAGGGGGCCAGAGGGTCCCTTCCCTCCCATTTTCTTCTCTCTCTCTTTCTTTTCCCTCCCTCCCTTCCTGCTTATGCTCCTCCCGCCTCTCTCCGGGGCTGAGTTGACCGCATGCCCCGTCTCCACGCCCACGGCAGGTCTGGAGACACCATAGAGGCAGATCGACGTCAGCGGTCAGCCAGCCTCTAAAGAGATGGTGATGGTCCTCCACAGCCCAGAGGACTCTCGGACTTGCCTCGACTCCACCTTCGAGAATAACCGCAAATCACAGTATTAACACAGGAAACCACGGCTGTGACCGCGGCCCCCGTGTGGACTTTCAGCGCCTCCTGCATCAGCCGGGACGGGCTGTGTGAACCCATCGTCCCCGCCCGGGGCGTTCTCGCTGCTGGGAGCACGGTGGTCCAGGGAAGGCCTGGTGGACGCAGGATTCGGGACAGGAAACGACGTTTTTGCGTATGCAGTGCTCGCCTGTCCTGAGCAGCTATTATTATGTCATTATATGATCGCCGGCGAAGATTACATATATAATTGTACGCAGCTATATCATTACATAGATCATTTGCATGGCATTTTACAGTTTTTTCAAAGCAACATCACGTACATCATAGCGTTTACTTCCCACAGCAGCCCTGGGACGTGGGAGGACAGGGCGTCTTCAAATCCCCGGATGAGGACGTCAGGCCTAGAGCACAGGGGACGAGCAGAAGCCACGGCTGGAACCAGGAGGCCTGACTTCTGGTCCGGGGCTGTTTCTATGATTCTCCAGCCTCCCAGAGCTGTGCGCTCGCCAAGGGGCCAGCACCCGACTCAGTCGTGCCTTCGCTTCACGCGCATTTCCGAGCTCCAGGCTCCCTTCTTCCTCTTGGATACATAGCAGCGAAAATCGAAACCAAAGCCGCCCCTTTTCGTCAGGAGGCTCAGGCCCTCGTCCAGGGCGTGGCGCGGACGCTGGGCCTGGTCAGCGCGCCTGGTCGCCGGCGGCATGACCTTCGGCGA